TCCATAGTTCTCTATCTCGAGTTACACAAGTTTGTCTATGTTCGTGTGTGTGCATGGTTGTCTTTCCTGTTTATACACGACGTGCAGACTTGGGTGATTTGAGATGGACATGCTGTGGGTTCCTGAAGTCAGGTAATCAGTTAACAGTAGATGGGTTTAGACCACATATTACTGTTATCCAAATTTGTTTTTATTGTCACTAATCTTAATTCCTTATGGGTACATTCACATGTAAGTTGATTACTAACTTCACTGATTTACATTTTAGTGCTCTTTGACACTCATATATCTATCTTTTTATAGAATTTTACTACAGTGATTAAGTTTTGAACACTTTATGATTAACTTTGTTAAGTTACCATTATGGGCTACAACCACTTTTGCCCTTCTTTTTGATTACATTTTTACTTGGTGCAGTGATTTCTCCCATATGCAGTATAGGGTTTTATTAATTTTCTTCTTTTTGCATCACTTTTTCCAGTACACGTGGTATATTGCATCCATTTCTTCACTTAAACGCTAATTCACATAATTGCTTCACATAGTACATGCAGGTACTCACAGGGCCAGGTTTCTTTTTGTTTGTTAATTTGCATTAGACGCAATTTTGTTGTGTCTACATTGAAGCGCCCTGTGCTGTGCTCTCTCTCCTCTACTGAGTTTTGTCGATGATCCTCGATTCCTGGGGGTGGACCTATGGTTCGTCATTGGATTCTACTCCTCCTGATTGGTGTTCCGGCTCGTAGGATCTGGACGTCCATGGATTCCGGCATGGCTGTTGGGATACTTCGCTCGCTGGGACCTGACCTACCTGCTGCTCTTTCCTGCACTAGATCACGATAAGTGCAATTACAAAGATCAATATACTATTTTGGAAGTATTCCCTACCTGTGGAGATATAAAGTTTTGCTCCTGCTTTAAATCATTACTTCCACGTGAATATCTTGATAATCTGCTGACTTGTGTGCTTCCCAAGGGATTATGCAAGACTGTTCTTCGGAGTGAGGTTCGTACCTCACCACTTTTGGCCTCTTCCTGGGAAACTATACTCTTCCTGGGGAATTGCACCTTGCTCTATCGTCGGAGTTCTTCAAGACTCTGGTCTGTTCAATGTCAGGTGGTCTCTGTACGGACCACCGTGCCCTTGAAAAGGGGGGTATGTAACGTGATGAAGGAGCTATTCCACCGAAGGCTATTTACCCTCTCTCCTCAGATGTCTCTGACACAGAACTAATCTGCATGAGACTGCCTCAAGGTCATGCATTTGCTTCTAAAACTGCTCCCTTTCCAGCTCAAGAGAAGAAAGAAGACAAACTCTTTCTATTTTTAATAAAGCTAATCAAACAAAGTGTTAGTTCAATAATAAGATGTGAACCAATCTGTGAAATGACAATATTATGATTAGTAAGTTTTAATAAGTAATATGACTTTAATCTAGCTGCACTAGACATCCTGATCCACATAATGCTTAAAGCCACATGACACATTTTATCTTTCTCATCCAATCGGAACCTTCCTTTCTGAAGCGTGGCATAGACTCTGTGGTGTTTATAAATCTGTCAAACTTTGATTCGACCATAAATCAAAACATCCAGATTAATAAAACCAGTCCCCACGCCATCTTGGTTCAGTTCAACGCAAGAAAAGTATCGGACCGGCCATCCGGACTTCCTTTTTAAGCAAAGAACCAACAAGCTGGATAAAATCTGTTGCACTTTACCAACAAGCAACGGTTCCTTTCAGAATAAAAGCTGAACTCACTGACCCTCCGGGTCCATCTGACGCTGTCAACCAACTGTTACTTTTACCTGGAGACAATCCAAAGACTAGTCTGTCGTACTGCTGACGTTGTTTCATCGGCTCTAGTACCAAAAGGGGGTCTGAGGACCCGACATTCTGGATCTGTAATCAGGTCTCATCCTGAAGGGTATGTGTGGAGCGACAAAATGGCGTCTCATGTGTTTATGAAACTCAGCTCATAGCTTAAGAGCAAAACATCACTTCCCACTCAGACTTACTTCTCCGGATACGAGAGTTCTGATGACAACATCACTCACACATACACCATCCATCTCACGTCTCATTCACACCAACATCCATTCACTTAGAGTTTAGAGTTAGTCTTGTTTAAAATTGTTTAGAAATAAATCTTCTTAAACATTTTAAAGGTGACTCTCTCTTCTCTTGTCTCTCAGTTAATACGAAGTGTTACATAATCCCTGCAATAAAAAGTTCCAATCTTCTGGTTAAAATGACCCAAAGGTCCATAAGATTGATTTCGTATTTCCTATGGAATCTCATGTTTTATGGTTCATTAAACAGATGTAAATTACACCCTTACACCACGGAGACAGAGTGTAACAAAGTCTGGTCGGCTCGCTTCGGAGTGTTTTCTTTCTGGTAAGTTACACATGGTGTACGTTTTGTTTATTTGTTTTTTTTTTTCCTTCTGCCTTGACATGCACACACAACACACACACACACCGGTAGGCTAATATGCGGGCAAACTAACACACAACACAACTTTTCCTGCTACACTTCTATGGGACGACAAGTTTGATTTTTTTTTACTAGAAAAACCAGCAAATGAAACATTTTCTTCTCATCTGGACGTTAACATCCGCTCACACAACAAACAAGATAGCCAAAAATGACAATTATGCAGAGCTGCAGCGGCAACTAGTTGTTGTCTGTGCTCCAGTCTTGGGTCTTTCACATGGATCCAAACCATTTATAACATTGATTCTGTCCACAAACCAGTCCCCGACATCTTTATTTAACTTTTCCCTTGATGTCTTGGTCAAAGAAAACGGTTCAATGGAACAGACTTGCGTCACATGGCCGCGGTTTCTGCAGCGGTCACACAACGTCACGTGACGCAGGAGGTAATGTTATATTTTATACATATAAGTTTCAATATAAATTTATAACGAGCCTTTTGTGTATGTGTTTGTTAAATTAAATATGTAACCTGTTTGCCACCGAAGCTGCAACTACTAAGCAACTAACCAGCCATTGCTAACTGCTTTGGATATAAAACAAAACATTTCAGATATCAACCCGATAGCTACAATAGGGCTTGTGATCACACGTGATTATGCATAGCATTATTTTCAAAGAAAATTGCACATTGGAAGCTTGATGAGTGTGAACAAACCATGAAACAAACGGTACTGTCGCAGAGAAGAAGTGGATTTGGGTGAAAGAAAGTGTTAAACAACATTATAAAATCCCAAAAAGGATGTGGAATATACAGGGATGCGTTATATAAAGATGTCGGGGACCGGTACGTGGACAAAATCAGCGTTTTAAATGGTTTTATCCACATGAAAGACCCAAGACCGGAGCACCGACGACATATTGTTGCCACCGCAGTTCTGCATAACGGATATTTTCAGATTTTTTGTTTTTGGTGTGAGCGGAAGTAAACGTCTGGATGAGAAGTAATCGTTTATTTGTTGGTTTTTCTAGTAAAACAATCAAAATCGTCATCCTACAGAAGAAGTGTAATGAGAGGTGTTCTGTGTCAGTGCACCCGCATTAGCTCACCGATATGTGAGTGTAGCCTCTGTGTGTGTGTGTGTGTGTGTGTGTGTGTTGCTTGTGCATGTCGCGGTTGAAGGAAAGAAATGATGTATAAAAAACGTACACCATCTGTAACTTACCAGAATGATACGCGTAATCACGTGTGATCCCGAGCCCTATAATGAAAATAACGGAGGCCCATTTAATGATAGAGCTCATTGTTGCCGGTTTGTTTTGCTTTCCCTCTGCCACCTCTACTTGACCAACACAAGATGCACTTGAGTTTAACCTTTAGAAGGGGTGGAAATGTTTATTTTCCTGAAGGTATGAAATAAAAACGTGCTTACAAAGCAGAATGAGACAAAATAATACGAATAATTGAGATTGCTGCAATAGCTGGATGATTATCTTTCATTTATTCCTCTGTTGATCATATATTTACATCTTGGTTCCTCCCGTTCCTGCTTGTGCCTCACCCACATCTGTGCAGCAGTAGCACTGCAGCTGATAGGCTGGAAGAAACAGTAACACTCATCCCTATAGGTGCTCACTCAGCATCCCAGATACACGGCGCTGATTGGCTCTTAGGCAGAGAGGCGTGTGCCCACGCAGGTTCACGGACACATTTTATAATCCATTTCAAGACATGTTTTTGTAAAGTCGGATCTGTTAATTATCTGACGCTGCAGCTGTGCACATGATTTCCAGTTTCTATGACAACAACTCCCTTTTATCTGCAGACGTCCTGCACGTGACGCAGCGCAGGAGTCGAGAGATGAGTCAAAACAAAGATGCTCTTTGCATTTTCAAGTGTGGGACTCTAAAGGGGGTTCATACTGATCTGTGACCTAATCATCGGGCGTACACCACGGGCCTTGCGTGCAACAAATATACGACGTCCGAATATTTCTAAGAAAATTGCACGATTTTCTGCGCAGTTTTAGGTGCAGCAAAGCAGCAGATCTTACCTCATCTTCGTCTTCCTTTAAGTTCTCTCTGTCTTGATTTAGGTCTGGATCGTGTTTGTACAGCAGCAGCAGCGGCTCTGATGTGCAGATGGTGAGGTGATGAGATAGGGCGTGAGTGGGATAAATCCAGTTATCAGCTCCTTCCTGCAGAAATCTCACTTCGTTGGAGTCTGACAGCCGCTGGAGCCATTTCAGAGAGCAGCGCGCGGCGTTCAGAGACGCAGGGAGCCGGCTGGAGGTGCTGAGAGCGGCTTGTGAGGAGCCATCTTCTTCCCCTGCTTCCTTCATCCAACCACTGGGAGGCTGCGCGGTGGAGGTGGGGGCAGAGGCAGCGCAGCATCTCAAATATGCGTGTGGGTCTGCAGCCGGCAGCGCCCTCAGTCCGCTGGTCCCAGAGCGGCAAACTCACCTCCCGTTTATGTTTATTCTATTCTTATTAATCAATGTCAACGCAACACTTAGCTGGACATAAGAAAAAAAACTAACAGAACAGAAGAAAAATAAGAATTCATTTGTGATAAGAGCTTTTATTGATTCTCCTAAGTAAGAGCAGGTTTTTGGGTGATCTAGTAACCACACAAACACAACTTACTTCGTGTTAAACAGACCAGAACCGTATTAAATCATCTCCCAACCACACTCATAGCTCGCTGATGCTAAAAGACTGTAAAAAACAAGCAGGGAGACAAAGTCTTATGGAAATGCTAAAATGCACACGAGCTTATTCTATTCTCATTAGAAATAAAGATGAAACATTTAAAAAGTCAGTGTTCTGCATTAACAGTATAGTCTCAGTCGCTGATCAACTTCAGATTTATTGATTTTTAGAGACATTTGGAGAAAACTCAGTAATTTCTTTTCATTTCAGTAACATATCTGAAAGTACTGGCTGGGAGACTTAATGGGACTTTTATAACTGGACATCTCCTGCGGTGCAGTCTGGCTGCTTAGGGTTTTCTGGAGGTTTAAGGTGAAGGACGGGGTGGATTTCTTCCCTTCTAGCCTGCTGGTCCCCTTTGTGGGCATCGGCCTGGGATCTTCCACAGGCCTGAAGTCGGCCGGGACCGCTGACGCAGACTTGGCAGCCTCAGAAGACCCAGTCTTTCTTGCGAGGGGGCTCAGATAGATCTGCATAGTCACTAAGTGAAGTGGTGAAATGTGAAGGAGTGAGGAGTATTGGGGTGATTGTGTGTGAAGGTTCAAAGGGCAAACACAGTGGGTAATTTTGAGACAAAAACGGGGGGGGGGGGGGGGGGCACACAAGTCACGGTGAGATGTGAAAAATGAAGGATGAAAGAAAAGCTCACACACAGTTCTTTAAGCTGAACGCTTCAATCGAAGGCTCAGATCACTGTGAGGGATGAAGCCTACCTTTGCAGTGTGTCACACGCCTACTTCCTGCACAAGTAACACACACACACACACAGTTGGTTTACAAACATCAACACCACAGTGGCGACGTCACAGAGGTGTGTTTTCTTACCTGTACTCACTGCACCCTCCTGGGATTTGCTGCTAAAAAGAGAGAAAAGCTGAATTACTGACGATGACAGAGGTGAGAAGAGGTCAAAGGAGACCCTAGACCTCCAGAGTCACCAGCACGTTTAGTCTGTAACACCAGCGTACCCGTCTGGGATCTTCGTACAGGCTGAAGCTGCAGACATGGGTTGTGTTTTAGTGCTCTTGCATGGGCTGTCCTTCACTCTACCTGAGGGGCTCCTCACACCACTGAAGTAAAGAGAAGATTCATGCAAAAGGAAGAGAAAGAAAACGATTAAAAGATATGAAAGTATTGGGAAGCTTCAGACTGAGCTCTCAGCTGGCTGGCTGCAAAATGAGCACCTGCCTTCTGGGTGGTGTGACGCTGTAGTTCCTGGCTGTGGCACCAGAGGGCAGCGTTGAGCTCTTCCTCAGGGAAGCAGCACTGGAAGTCACAGAGGAGGGTCTGGAGGACAGAGCCAGAGATAGGGGCCTGGCTGTGGAAACATGCAAAACAATACTCCTTCTAAAGAAATCATTTAGGTTATTAATAAATCAGAACACTCCTTTATTTAGATTTCATGTAAATGTCATCTAATTTGATGAAAACCTGACACTGAAATAGTATTTGAGGAGTCCGAGTGTGTTGTGTGTGTGTTTTCATTAACTAAAGAAGACGTGTTTGTGTGATCCATTTAGAGGATTGCAAGTAAGTCAGGCTGCTTGGAAAGAAAATTAAAAAAGTCACGAAGATCTGAACAGAAATTAAACAAAAAACATATTTAAATGCATTTATGATCAAATACTTGCAGTATATTCAACATTTTAAGACTCACTCTGGAGAAGAAGAAGCAAAAATACGATAAAGTGTTTTATTTACAGCTTTAAAACCTTCATACAACAGAGACTTGTGAAGGATTGAGTTAGATAAAATACATCTGCTGATATTTTTGATATATTAATATTAGTTGTTTGATTCAAGCACAAATTGAGAAGTGAACATTACTGTTGAAGTGAGTTATTTTTCAGTTATGATCCTAATTACAGTTTTTTTCAATTGCTAAAACTCAATAAGCAAAAATGAGGCACAACTTTCACAACCTCTACTTCTGTTCCCAGTGGCTTGACTCAACTTATCACTACTTAAGATTTCCTTATCATATTAGAACTCTGATTATCCCCCTTTACACTCTGATGCCAATTTCACATTACCTTGCTGTCAAAACACAGCACACGATTTTCAGGTTTACACATACTTCTCGCATAAATTTTCAAAGCTTCATTCAACAACACACAAATATTCAAATCTCTAAATCTTTGGGTCTGCCGAGCAATTTGTGATTGGCCAGCGGGCCATAATCGAGGTCCCGCGCCTGCGTGGTGGCAACGTCACCACGTGTGCAGCCATGAACCACCGTGGCATCCTACACCGACATGCCCACCTAGGGGCATACAACACAGCCCTGCTACTGGAAGTCCTAAACGGAAGGCTGCCCACAGGAGGTTTCAGGACCACCCACGGTTTCCCGTTTAATACCTTCCACCTTATTCCCCCTTCCTCAATCCCACTGAGGAGTTCTTCTCAGCCGGGAGGTGGAAGGTGCACGAAAGGAATCCACAGCGCCAGGTCCCACCGCTTCAAGCCATGGAGGAGGCTTGTGGAGATGTGGCCTTGGAGGCCTGTCAGGGCTTCATGAGGCACTCGAGGCGGTACTTCCAGCGCTGTTTGGACCAGGAGGATGTTGATGAGGCCCTCTGGCCAGACAGAGACCGGAGGCATGATGCCCCATGGTTATGCTCGAATGGGAGGGGGGGGGGGTCCTCAAAATTTGTGTGATGTCTAACGTTTGTCCATGAGAGAAGTGGGCATTGTAATAGATTGTGTTTTCAGTGTTGCTCTCCAGTGTTCTTTCCATGCTTGGTAGAGTTCACCCAAAAGCTACTTGTGTTTATTGAGTGAATGGTATATGTGTGTGTGTGTGTGTGTGTGTGTGTGTGTGTGTGTGTGTGTGTGTGTGTGTGTGTCATGTGAACACATGGCTGTGTTTACCAAATGAAAACACGTGATCCATTTGGTGAACATGTTACGAGATTTGATGGCAGAGTTGTTTTGCAAAGGGAAGCCAGGGTTTAGCCATTTGTGTGTGATGTTTTGAAAAACGTGTTTTAGCAATCGAGAAAAACTGTTAGGGGCTCAGTGGTTAGCGCTGTTGCTTTCCAGCAAAAAAGGTTCAGGGTCCTGTCTGCATGGAGTTTGCATGTTCTCCCTGTGCATGCGTGAGTTCTCTCCAGGTACCCCGGCTTCCTCCCACAGTCCAAAAGCATGACTGTCAGGTTGATTGGTCTGTCTAAATTGTCTTTAGGTGTGTGTGTGTGTGTGTTTGTGTGTGCTTGGTTGTTTATCCTGGGTGTTTCTGTGTTGCCCTGCGATGGACTGGCAACCCGTCCAGGGTGTGCCCCGCCTGTTTGCCCGGAGACTGCTGGAGATAGGCACCAGTCCCCTGCGACCTTGCATGGATAAGTGGGTAGAAAATGGATGGGTAGATCCTAATTTATTAACCCTTTATCTTCCAAAACATGAATTAAATATAGATGTTGAGTTTCTTGCCCTTTTTTTATTCCAATTGAACCACTAGGGTAAATAATCTCTCACTTTTTAATCAAACATTAATACAAAAAAGGATTAGGGCCACTGGAAAGAAAAAAGAAAAGGAGGAGAATCCTGACTTTAATCTCAGATATTTAAATCTCAGAATTATTAAAGTCTGAATTCTGAGTTTAAAGTCAGATGTTTTTTTTCTTTTCAGTGGCCCTAATCTTCCATACTTTCACAAAATTCTTATTGAGTTTATTCTAAAAGTAAGGCACAAAAATGTGATAAACTTTAAAGCCCCAGTGTGTAATCTTTTTATTGTTTACTTTTAAAATACGTGTATCTGTTCACTTTTTCATTAATAAACCTGACTAATACATTTTTTAAGAATTTCTATAACCTTGAAATGTAGCATTTTATAGGGATGTCCCGATCCGATCACATGATCGGAAATCGGCCCCGATCACGTGGTTTCAGACTCAATCGGGACTCGGGCTTTACTTCCCAATCCAAACCCGATCCGGGCTTGGATACTGGGTTCAAATTACAGGAGAGCAACTTGGTTCTCCTTAAAGGTTGTCAGGCTCCCCTGATGCCCTTAACTTACACACCCAGAAGGAGCCCAAAAGAGATCCAGTTTCTACCTTTATTATTTTATTTATATGGACTCAGAGTAGCGGAGACTCTTTTGAGCAGAGATGCGGAGACGGGCAGGAAGACCTCTGATCATTCATGAACTCCAGCTGCGTTCTGCACACGGCCACAGTAACATTTTTGAAGTTTCTAAGTGGCGTCACCATGGACATAATTTTGGGGGGGACAGGGGGGACATGTCCCCCGCCCCCACTTTTTCCAAAGTCAAGTTTTGACCCCTGCACTTTTTACCATCCAAAAACAATATTACACTAGATTAAATTGCCACTGGTTGAGCTCTAGGACCAAGCGGAAAACAACTGTTTGTGTTGAAGCCTGTTCCCCATTAGAGAATACTATAAAGATACCCCCCGTGCCCCCCCCCCCCCCGTGTCCCCCCCACTTCTAAAGTGAAAATTACGTCCATGAGCGTCACCCAAATATATAATTAACACACAGTCATTCGTGTGCGTTCATTTTCTCTCTGGTAAGTTCTGTCTGTATTTGAGCATGACGTGTGGATGCGCTCGCGCTGCAGCGCTCGTCACTGGCGCAGCCGGGCAGTGCGGCGCACACTCCGCTCTTTTTGAGGTCAATAGATCAATTTGATCTGCTGGTTAAAAAGTTACTTGTGAGGTGAAAAAGAAGGAAGCTGGCAGGAGTTTTTCTGGAGGACTGGGAGATGCAGGAAGATCAGAGACAGAGGACAGGAAGACAGGAAAATAAAAACCAAGAAAACAAAACAAAGTTCTTAAAAAAATAAAATGTAGGTAGATTGATCCCACTACACGTTTGTACCTGTATAAAGCAATAATTTATCAGCATGTAGTATTTATATAGTTGATACAGTTCAGATCATCTTCAAAACTCCGTCCCATGCCCAGGGGCGTATCTAAGCATTTTGGGGGCCGAGGCAAAATAGACCCCTGCCAGGTATTTTAAGATGAAGTGCTATCTGTTTTTATATTAGACTTTTTACATTTGCAATAAAGTTCAAAAGTGAATAATTTATGTTATTTATTACTTGATTGTTCAAGCTACCTCACAGAAGTGACCTGTTGTTAAAAATGAAAATAAAAAGGTAATTAAATAAAAAAAAAAAGGAACATTCTGGAGCTGTTTCTTCCTTTTCTTTATTTTTACTTTTTTATGTATCGAAAGTATCGGATCGGGACTCGGTATCAGCAGATTCTCAAAATCAAATGACTCAGACTCGGACTCGGGGGCAAAAAAAAACCTGATCGGAACACCCCTAGCATTTTATATTAATAAGCTGGTTGATGCTTCATAGTAATGAAATACGGTAGCTGTTTAGGAACATTCAAGCTATAGGGATGTGCTGGTTCTCTCGTGGCAGCCTTGTTGGTTTGGGGAAATTCTGCTCCTTCCTCCTGGGTTGCTCACCCTGCTCCGCCCACTTGTGCCTCTCAGTTTTTATTACTAAACACATATTTAGATAAACTTTAGAAATAAATACAAATTTAAACACAGGACCTGGATGCTGGATTGAAAACTGGAAGTCTTTAAAGACATGTGGCCTTTTTGATGTGTGTGTAGCTGCAACTTCAACCAACCCGGTTAAATGGTTAAAAACATTAGCATCCATAATAAAAAGACAACAAGAATCATTTATTTATGTCACCAGTACTCAGCACACTAACGACTCCTGGGCTGGACCACCTTCAGAAAGTTTCTGTCTTTGAGGAGACACGAGCTAAAACTATTGTTTAAAAAAAAGACATGAGCAAAACCTGAAATAAATATGATTTAAAATCAATACCAGTACACTGTAAGAAATGAAACGTTGGATTTACTTAACCAAGTTAGCATACAACGTATACAAGAAATATACACTTACTTTTAACATAAAAATAAATATTTCTCTTTACATTTAAAGAGGAAGTCACCCCAAAAATCAACTTATTTTTTGCTGATAAACTATATAAATGAGTGTCTAATCATGCTGTAGACACGCGGAGTCAATAATTTGGCACTTTAGTGCATCTTAGTTAAAATTTAAATAATCTGCATGAAACTGACAGTGTTGCGCCGTCGTCAGGTAAAATCTCTACACTGCATTTACATTTAAATCTGCCATCGCTATTGGCTAAGAGGTACACTATGACATTAGCTGGTACATTATGATGTCACAATCTTGTTTTGAGCCTGTGTGTGTATTTGTTAGCGGCTCCACCCTCTCGGTCTGCCAGGCAACAGCATTAGTTGCATTTTTCAAACATGAAGTGGAATAAGACTCTGGTGGGGGGGTGACTTGCTCTTTAAGTGGCAAAGTTTAGTGGAACCAGTGGACGTAACTTGGTTGAGTAAATTCAACGTTTTATTTTTACAGTGTAATGTTTTTCTAAATACAGTTATGGTTTTTTTTCTATTTGTGTTCTTAAAAAAAGAAAAGATATATATGAAGTCTAGTTGCAGCAGTCCCTGGTGTTCTTTAGAACAACACTGATGTCACACAGGTGTTTACTCACCTTTGACTCCTGGTGCTCTCCTTCCTGCTGCTGCTGCAGCCTGGTGCTCCTCAGAGATGTTGAGCCTCTTGAGAACATCTGCCAGGGCCATCTTTAGCAGCTGGACTTCATCTTCCTGCATTTGCATCCTCTGCTCGAGATAGGTAAGGCGGTCGGTCACATCCAGGCCGCTGGTCGCTGAGCTGCGGTCGTCTGGAAGAGGAAAAGGGAGATGAAGCGTGTTAGATTGATGGAAAGAGACAAAACAGGAAGTTGGTACCAAATGTGGTTCCTGGATAGAAAGCTGTACGTTCTCCAAAAGGGACAGATTGTCTCATGAACCCTTTAAAGCACATTACATTACTCAAAGCACAGCGGGACGTAAGTGTCCACTGTTTTAAAAGTAAACCCACCATAAACGGTCTCTAAGAAATAAAAAAATCATAAACACACGCTCACAAAGGCTACAAAGAATACTTAAATCACTTTAAAACCCACTTTGCTAATGAGGTCAAAGCACAGCTGGACCCAGCCCACCCTCCATTATACAGACAAAGAAAAACAATCATTATTTTTCATTGGCGTCCCCATCTTTGGCTCCAGAACCAAACATTGGATGAGACTTGGGTACCATGTGAGCAGCTGGATGCTGAAGCGTGACCGTGGTATCTCTGCTGGACGCACGCAGCCCCCTCCACCGCCCCACATATCTTCCTCCTCTTCTTCTCTTCTCGTGAGCAAAGTCTTTCATTCCTCTTCCCTCCTCCGATCAGAAAACCCTGGTCCCCCTCCATCTCACTTGGACGGTGTCCACCAAGGTCTCATCCCCTCCATAGATACACGTCTCCGCTGCTCTGGGTCCAAAATGGAGTTAAAGCAGGAGGGCGCTGCTGCTTTGATCTCGGACACACTTTTGTGTTTTGTAGAGCTCTTAAGCCTTTTTGCTGAGTGAGTGTGCGCACAAGTGTGTGTGTTTATGTGTGTGTGTGTGTGTGTGTGTGTATAAAGGTGGGGGTGGGGTTAATCGTGCTTAAAAACTAAGAAGTCGTTCAATTCGGCCTGAATTGTCTCTGCTCTCGCATGTCTGTGTGTGTGTGTGTGTGTGTGTGTGTGTGTGTGTGTGTGTGTGTGTGTGCACGCGCACATGGGCATGTGTGTTGAGTGCATCGTTAATCCCAACGTTAATCTCTGGGACCACGCCCACACACATAAGCTACATGTCACTAAATCAGAAGTAGACCTGAAATTTGAATAGCACGTCAGCAAACGTCTGCCCTGGCTTTGTGTGTGTGTGTGTGTGTGTGTGTGTGTGTGTGTGTGTGTGTGTGTGCGTGCGCGCGCACAGGTCAACAGAGGACGAATGTAACTAATGCTTCCTAAATACAGATGGATGAGGTAAAAATTGCTCCAGCAAGCAGGAATCTTGCTAAAGTGAGGGTTGTAAATAGGTGAGTAGGTGGTTTCCAACCAGGACCCTAGCTGTTGTGATGCTTCGTGAAGAACTAAAATTTCACTTTGATTAAAATAGTTTGACGAGTCAGGTCCAAATGCCACCCTGCAACGGATCTTGTTAGCTTAGCCACTCGGTGATTCTGAATCAATAAAGCTTCAACAATAAGTGTCCATGCAAGGGAACAAGATCAAGTCATAATTTTAGCATTTTTTTTCTCCATTCAAGCCTCAAACCAGGTTAAATCGTGAGACGCGCAAGTCCCAAGTCAAATCCAATTCATAAACTTTGACTAAAAATGTAATTTAATTACATTGTATGAATTTATCAAAGTGAGACACTTGTTGATCCTGGGCAAGCCCCCACGATGCGGCTCAAAAATTGGAGCAATCCCGGAAGTACCAAAAATTGCAGTTCCACCCTCATCCACTAGGGGCTGGTGTCAGAAGTGAGCAAATCCTCATTGACTCCTATGTTAAAAATACCAATTTCACAGCAGAAATAAACATGTTTACAGCCTGGTACCAAAACATGTTTTTGGTTTAAATTATCTAGTTTACACTCATGACAACTCTGAGGGGGGTGAATTTTTTTCTCACTCTTCTGTTTAAGTGTATTAAATGCCTAAAATTCTGTATAATTAATGAGCATCAGACCCACGTGACCACAGAACTAGCTCCGTGGAAAGGTCTCAGTAGAGCCTCGGTCTGGCTTGGAAACTGATCCGGGATTTTGAGTCTCTGTGTTTGTGTATTCTCTTTTGGATATTTTTTGTGCAATTGTTGGACAAAATGACTTGCTGTGGCATTAATTGCACTAATAGAGCGTCCAAGGAGTCTCCACTTCATTTATTTCGGTAAGTAAAATTATATTTATGTATTTTAGGTCACTGCCGAGCTGAGCTTAGATTTTAACATGTACTGTTGAAATTTAAATGTAATAGGGTAAAACCCAGTGCATTTAACATAATGCTGCACTTTAGAAAATGGGTTGAAATATAACATGTTGGTGGAGCTGGGTTCCGACTATCGGCTTGTAGAGCTCTTCTCCCCTCCCAGCAGCTCGGTGCATCTCTGTCTGATCGCGGCTTCTGTCTGCTGCGCGGGCTGACGGCTTGTGGAGCTCTGGGATGGAAACCTTTCCACCCGGTTCTCCCCAGTGGCAACTCAGATCGCAACGGCGCTTTTCTGCTGCGCGGGCTGCCGGCTTGTGGAGCTCTCGGAGACCCCTGTGTTCCACCCGGTTTTACCCAGCGGTCAGCCCGGCGTACCTCTAACTCAGAAGCTCTGGTGTTGTGCACAGTTAACTCCGGTTGTAGCTAGGTTGCTACCTCCGTTAGCTTAGCTCCCACCTCCGCCTTAGCTTTGGGTTAGCTTCAGGTTAGCTTGTAGCTAGTTCGACCGGGTGTCGTCAGTTGATCCCAGCCTTACAGCCCCACCCTCAGCTCCACCTCTCTTCCCTTTTGTGGAATTGTCTGGGCTTGACGGAACCTGTGACACGGTCAAAATGGCGGTGGTGACCACCTCCCATTTTAGCATAAAAACTTATTATTGCAGTCTATGGAAATCCATTGTCCAATATTTATATTCAATTCAATTCAATTCAATTCAAAAATACTTTATTAATCCCAGAGGGAAATTGATTATATGTAGATGATCCTGAGTGATATCATGTAGGCCGATAGGCTCAAGTCCAACTAAAGCAGTGGGGAAGCCTGAGTCATGTCCAAAGTCATTTATGATGTCATCAAGTCATGGTGGAAATATGATGATATCCCAGAAAGCAATGGAAGTGCTACAGCAAAATGCTGCTACCACTGACATTCAAACAAACCTCATAGATTTAATATGAATTAATATTAATATAATATAATATTAGTATTAACTGAGATGTAAATGTTCATAAATAGTTTCCATGAAATACTATAAAATTGAGATTAGAATTGCTTTGCAACAAAAGAAACAAATTTTACCCCACTCAGACTAGCCGATAGCTTATCAATCTAGTCTGAACTAATCCATTTCTCTAAACTGAGATTATTCAGAGACATTTACAGCCACTCATTATGTTTCCACATAATCCCCAGCTCCAAACATCTACACCAGGGGTCACCAACCTTTGTGAAGCTGGGAGCTGCTTCACCATTATGTGAAAGGCTACCAGATTGATACACCAAGTTTAGTCATGCATACAATACTAACCTTTGACCTAGATTAGGTTTGAGTTGAACTAAACTTCATGTATAATAAAGATATTTTAAGCCTTTTGAATTATCGTTTTCAATTATACACGTGATTGTCCTCTCAGGAGTCTCCACAGCTAAGCATTTGTCTCCATTTAGTCAGATCTCCTACATCTTCTACCCTCACACCAACTAACCTCATGTCCTCTTTCACTACACCATAAATCTCCTTGTTAGTCTTCCTCTAAGCCTCCTGCCTGGTGGATCCAACCTCAGCATCCCTCTACCTATGTAATCATTGTCTCTCCTCTGGACATGTCCAAACCATCTGTCTGTCCTCTCTGACTTTAACCCTGCATCTGACATGAGCTCTGATGTCTTCATTATCTGGATCCTACGCATCCTCGTCACTCCTAAAAAGAGCCTCAACATCTTGAGCTCTGCAACCTCCTGTTCTGCCTCCTGTCTTGTCCTCGTGGAGACTGTCTCTAAACCAGACAACAAGGCTGCTCTCACCACTGTCTTCTACACCTGAAACCCTTTTATCACACCCGACACTTGTCTCCACTCATTCAAACCTGCTTCACACACTTCTCTTTTCCACCATAAAATCGTCTTCCATCTTTACTTCTACTCCGTAACATCACCATTCTACTTGTGCCCTTCTCATTTACACACATGAAGTTTGTCTTCGTTCCTCTTTTTTCCAGTTCATATCTCCACCTCACCAGTCTTTTCTCTATCTGCACCCTGCGCTCTCCATGTCATATGCAAAAACCGTAGACCATGGAGGCTCCTGTCTGACATCATCTGTCAGTCTGTCCATCACCAAAGCAAACAAGAAGGGGCTTAGAGCCGATCCTTGATGCACTCCGCCTCCACCTCGAGCTCCTCTGTCACTCCTACATCAAACCTCACTGCTGTCTCACAGCTCTCACACACGTTCTGCACCATCTGCCAATCAAGACCTCCTCACGCACCACAGCTCCTCTCTGAGCACCTTTCTTTAAATCTACAGCGATGCACATCCTGACCTTCTCTGTACTTGTCCATCAGCTTCCTTAAAGCAAAGGTAGCCTCTTTCTGGGCATCAAACCATTCTGTGCTCACAAATGCTCACATCTGACCTAAGTCTAGCTTCCACCATCTCTTTCCTAGAGCTTCATTTATGACTCATCAGCTTTGTTCTTCTGTAGTTCCCACAATTCTGTCAGCCATCTCTGCTGCTATGGTTTTAATCACATAAAATGTGATTTAAAAAAATTGCAGCGGTCGTCGTCGTCTTCCTCCGCTTATCCGGGTCCGGGTCGCGGGGCCAGCATCCCAACTAGAGAGCTTCAGACCGTCCTCTCCCCGGCCACCTCCACCAGCTCCTCCGGCAGGACCCCAAGGCGTTCCCGGACCAGATTGGAGATGTAACCTCTCCAACGTGTCCTGGGTCGACCCGGGGGCCTCCTGCTGGCAGGACATGCCCGAAACACCTCCCCAGGGAGGCGTCCAGGAGGCGTCCTGACCAGATGCCCAAACCACCTCAACTGACTCCTTTCGCTCCAGAGGAGCAGCGGCTCTACTCCGAGTCCCTCCCGAATGTCCGAGCTCCTCACCCTATCTCTAAGGCTGAGCCCGGCCACCCTACGGAGGAAACTCATTTCGGCCGCTTGTATCCGCGATCTCGTTCTTTCGGTCATTACCCAAAGCTCATGACCATAGGTGAGGATTGGGACGTAGATCGACCGGTAAATCGAGAGCCTGGCTTTCTGGCTCAGCTCCCTCTTCACCACGACAGATCGGCTCAGCGTCCACATCACTGCAGACGCCGAACCAATCCGCCTGTCGATCTCCCGATCCCTCCTACCCTCACTCGTGAACAAGACCCCGAGATCCTTAAACTCCTCCACTTGAGGCAGGACCTCTCCCTCGACCCGGAGTTGGCAAGCCACCCTTTTCCGCAGCAGGAAATAATTATATCTCTGTTTACAAACATTTTAAACTGTTCTGAGCGGTGCATTGGGCTATTTTTAGAACAGGCCAAAGGGCACCTAAAGGGCTCCTGGGGGCACCGGGTTAGTGACCCCTGATCTAAACAAATAGAGTGAAAGTGCTAATGCTAAACATTTCAACTGATAGGTGGAAAATGGACAAATCTAAGATGAGAGTAAATGATCCATCTTGAATTAACCACATGATTAAATTTACTGCTGCTGTCAGATTTTTTTTAATTAATCCAACAGTAACGTGTAGATTAGCCTGAAAAAGAAAAACTGAGTTTAATTGTTTCTGCATTTAACTTGTGGAAGTAACCTCCACCCCGGACAGCACTGATTCTGTGATCTTCTCTTTTTGTTTCAGTCCTGGCTGTGACTCCATCATCACGCCACCTCCACACACTCCATATGGGACTGGGATTAGAGCATCACATAATCCTCATGCTGTGAGAGAATTAGCAAACCCACAGCTCAGTCTTTGCTTCAACTCAGCTGTGAAGAATCTCCCCGGACGCAGTTTATGCTAATCTAACCAGACATCCCTGAATTTAGTCATGCACGTGCAGCAGATTCCAGATTAAAGATCAATTATACACATTTATTGTGAAAATTAAAATGCATACATTTTAATCTTTAAAATTCCTTTGAGATTATGCAGCCATTTGAAGAGCTTTGTGATCCCAGTTGATTCCATTTCTTCTTCTCGTTTTTAATAATGACAAATTATTCAACAAAAGTTTATTAATCAGCCTCAGTAGATCAGATTTAAACTGGATTATCTCCCCAGTTTTTAATTCTAATTAAATATTTGTAAAATATTTGTAGCTGTAGTCGAGCACACTTTCTCCAATGTACCTGTCATGAAGTCCGTGTCCGGTGCCAACAGGGCTTCACCGTGATAGCTCTCCTTCAGCGAGGGTCTCCTCAGCAGGCCTCGGACCTCCATCCCCACGTCCTGATCCAGCATCTCCTCCATGTTTGTGTCCCCCTCCGCTGCCATGACGATGATGAAGGAAGATAAGAGTGAGCCGGTGTGTTCCTGCTGAGCTGATTCACCTTCCCTGCCCGGTCCAGCTTTCCCTCCCCCCCTCCCTCACCCCGTGTCCTGTAAGGAGTGTGTGGAGGGGGTGATGTCACTCAGAGAGCAGATTAAAAACACGGTAATCTATCTGCAGCTCAAGTGAGGACGAGACTCAGGGAGTCCTGGGACGAGTGATGAAGGGAAGAGAAGAAAAACTTTTTGACACTTTTACCATTAATGCCCAGTTGAAAAACACACTCCTGACTTTAAAATAAACAACAAGCAAGATGAGCCTGTGGAATTTGCAGTTGCACGCAAAGTTGCAGACAAGCACACAATTACTGTGTCCAAAAGAGCTGACATCAGGCTAGTATCCGGTGTGGCTGGCCCTGGTGTGCTGTGCGGATGAGGATCCAGAGATTAGGCAGCCGAACTTGATTAATTACAGTCATCAGGAGGACAATAAGCCGGATGTGGTAATTAGACCAAGAGAGAAGGAAACAAGGCTGGATGAAAAGCTGGTTAGGTGTTTGTGCTGAGGTCCCCCTCCTGTGTAAGTCCTCACTTTGTCCATGTTGCAGTTTGTTGGATTGATTCGGTCCCCAGCAGATGTGTCCACTTGCTGATCTGGTCTCATACAGGAAGTGCTCATTTGAATTAAGAGCGCTCCCTCAGGAGTTGTTTTTACGCGATTATTCTGGTTTCTGATCTGGGAACTACAGGAAGAGGCTCATCTCTGACGCGCGCCATCAGGCTTCTGCTCGAAAAAATAAACAAAAACAGGAAGGGTTTGGCAGCTGAAACTCTACTGGATTTTCTACATTTGAATGAGAAAACATGAAGCTTTTGAAAATTCAAAGAAATCAAAATATTTGGATTAGTGACAAGAATTTTAGATGTTTACCCACTTGTTGCTGGTGGAAGGCCAGGGGCTGTTGTCTCTGGGCGAGAGCTGGGGGGGGGGGGGGGGGGGGGGTTTCACCCTGGGGAGATCACCTGCCCATCACAGGCCCAGAAAGTTACCTGGATGCTCCTACTGTTTCTTTAATATTTTGCATCCTTTGTTTTAGTAAGAAACAAGCTTAAATCCTCATTTCAGGTTAATCCTCAACTTTTATAATGGCGCTTGCATTCTTGATGCAAGAGATGGTTTGCACCTCGCTGTGAATTCACAGACTCACATAATTGTTGAGATGAATCGTAAGCTTGGGACTTTGGCCGAGATTCATTCGTTGGCACAGAAGATGGATGCCATCAAGGATAGAGTGGACGAATCAGCACGGATTGGGATGGATTAATGTCCATTATTGGGATTTTGAGAGGTTGAGGGCCAACAAACTGTAAGACAGAGAGGAAATTATCTCTGTCTGGCCCCAAAACAATTTCTAATCGGAATCTGGCACCCTTGAGCCTGCAAGGCTCCAACGAAAACTCCCCCCTCAGAAGATATGTGGAATGTGCCGTCGCTATGGCAACTCAACTCTGTCTCCTTTCCCAGCCTGGGCGGGACTGCGGGATGGCCGCTGAAATGTTCCAGGGTCACGGCAACCCTCCAACCCTCAATGCTCCTCCCCCTATCCACACTGAGGTGACATGTGCTGCTTCATTGTGGCTGCAGGAACTGAAGTGGGGATAGTCCCAACCCATCACCCCACCTAGTGGACACTTATTTTGTGTAATGTCTGAAGTCTGTTGCATATCTGTCTGAGGTGCTTTTTTGCAGAGCAAAGCTGCCCTCCTGGTGGGAGGGTAACTCTGAAGTGCCTTTTTTCCCTCCACCTGAACCAATCCTCATGTAACCCTCTTATCTCTATTAAGGTAGCGCGACTCAGGGTTGTGAATGACCACAGTCACCAATTTTTGTCATGTGTCTTGCCCATGTATGTCTGACCTCTGAATTGTGTGTACTGAAACTCTAATTTCCCTCTGGGATTAATAAAGTATCTTTGATTTGATTGATTTGTTTTATAATTTATTTTGGTTGGGGTATGTTTGTTTTAACAACTTTTAACATTTGCTGCTTGCTGGTATCGTCTAACACCATTCTACCATTCTAATCTGCTATTATACGTATTTTATCTACTGCATTTAGCCTGTGTGTTTTATTTCATGTCTTGAGTTTCAAAAGACACAAAATGAAAAGTGAACTATCTGACCTTGTGTCTGAAACTCATTAAATTTGAACAAATAAGCTAACTTTAATAACAATTCAGCTGTTTATTCTATGTAAACACTATTTCTGCCATTTTAACGTGTTTCTATGTAAAAGACAAAGATTAGTCACAGATGGCTTCCTGAACAGCCTCTGTGTGGAGAAATGGAGTTTACATCTTACAGGAATAATGAGCTAACGGCTAGTCCAAATGAAGCAAGTTCATTTCTGCTGTCTAAAACAGCTCAGATGTCCAACGTTTCTTTAAAAAAATCATGAAATCTTTGGTTTACAAACATTTTCACTGCAGTGAAATTTGTATTACATAGTAGTATCTGCTGAAATATTGAGAAAGTCTTCAGTTTCAACCTGTGGATTCTAGATGAGTTGCAAAACCGACTGTGGTCCAAACATTATTAAATTAAGAGCATGATGAATCCAAGCTTTTGCCTATAACAGAATCTATTTATGACTATTATGTTTTTAATATCTATATAGTTGGTTTTTGTTCAAAAGAAATAGATGAATAGCCCTGCTGTAGGCCAATTTAATTCCGGGCCTCGAGGGCCGGTATCCAGCACGTTTTAGTGGTTTCCCTGGTCCAACACACTAGATTCAGTGTTGAATCACCTGTGCAGCAGCTCATCAGGCTCTGCAAAAGCCTGTTAATCATCTACTAATTGAAATTAGGTGTGTTGAAGCAGAGTTAAAACAGAAACGTGCTGGATGCTGGCCCTCAAGGCCCGGAATTGAATAGCCCTGCCCTACAGGGTGTAAAACATTTCAAAACAGGCGTAGTTCAGGCAAAAAAGGTAATCAACTTGTTTTAAACAATTTAAATGTCTCCCTACCCAAAATTATTGTTGACAGACACAGTTAAAACAATCTAAACTGCTTTTACTCCCAGTAAAAATTGACCAAACTCACGTCAATGGACAACTTTTTTACTAAATGTAGAAAAATTAAACATGAATTAATTTGCTGTTAGAATTTCAAGGAGTCCTAAATTAGCCCGGAGGTCACCGAGAGGCGGGATGAGTCAACACATACAAATAGTATTATTTAGAGACTCCGTCTCTGCTGAATACTCCTTGTGACCCGTGGCCTGAATGGGGTTTAAGGTCCAGGCAGATTATGAGTCTGCTGACAGAGACCATGGAGGTTAACGTCTCCTGTTGTACTCACATGAACAGATGACCATGAACTACAAAAAAAAAACGAGGTCAGCAGGAAGTCTGAGTCTGAACCTGGTGTCTCACTACTGGACTCCAGTGGACGCTTTATAGTATTACAACATCCGCCCGTTTCCTGTTTAGCACATGAAGTAAACTCAGCACCTTATTTACTCACCTTTAACCGTTAGATGAGGAATCTAAATTTAACTCATCTTGAAGAGCATTCCTTTAATCTGCCAGAACTGTGATTAAACAGTCAAAAATGAAGAGCCACACAAAGTTTGCACAAAGGACTTAAATTTTATAAATATTCTCTCAATGATACATTAAATCAGTCGGGATGATATATTCTTAAAAAAAATCCAAGAGATCTTCCAAAGGGGACAATACTCTGATACACACATTTCTTTCTACTCCAAAAATATCTAAAATGTACATCCCACATATTTTACAAATATATATGAAAATATATGCAAACAATGAGCATCATTACAGGCCAGAGAAAGCAGAAGCTCTCGTTTCGTCTAATGGAGTGAGCGAGGTGCCTTCTGGGACGCAACGATGAAGGTTGCTCAGCTTTTCATCTGCCGCTGCAGACCACGAGAGTATGCTGAAACTTTTCTCTGTTCCCCGAGTGCTGCCCAGCCTTGTTGTCACGACAACGGAGGATGTAACTGTAGCCCATGCAAAGCCGGTGAGTAATCAAGTTATGCCAACATACAATCTAGTCCATGCTTTCCACAAGGCTGGCCAGCGCTTAGGGGGTTTGTCACACGTGGTCTGATGAGCTTCCAATAACTGCTTTTTCAAGAAGAGAGACGCTGTTGGGACAGTTTCTGCCCTCTAAGAGGCAAACAGCTGTAGGAAAAGGACCCCTGATCTGCATGGAGGGTGTCCTAAATCATCTCCCTCTTTCCTAAGCACCCATTATGGACACAAATGTCAATTTGGAGCTTTTAATTATCGATATAGACGTCAGCATTTGAATTTATTGTGGATTTTCTCTCTTCGTTTGGGTCGTTATCGGTAGTTATGATGGTACTTGTAATGTACAGATGTAACCAGAGAACCAATTACACTCAGACCTACCATGAACTGGAAACTGTTGGGAGTGTGAAGCTAGTTTTACATCACCATGGACTGAGTGGGTGCACACCAAGAAAAACACTCCTACTCCAAAAGTGAAGGTCAAACTTAAGTACGAAGCTGGATGAGCCAAATACCCTCTGGAAAACAGTTTTGAGCTCAGACGAGACACAGCTCGAGTATGGAGGAGTCAAGGAGAGGCTTTCCAACCGGAGAACGTTGAACAACTGTCAAGCATGGTGGTGGTAGCATCATGATATGGGGCTGGTTCAGTGAGCAAAGTGGGCAATCTCCAAATTATGCAACTCGACCTGAAATCATCAGCTTGACGGTTGGCATGGTTGGGTGTTCCAACAGGCCGTTGACCCCAAACACATCAGAGCTGGTTCCTGATTGGAGAAATCCGACTCACGTTAAACTCCAGTAACGGTCATCCCAAAGCTCCAACCTCAACAGAATTAAAAACGTGTCAGCTGTGATAAAAGTCAAGTCCATGTCAGCAAACAAACCAGTGTCGATGAAATTCACCAAAACCACCACGACACATCAACCAGAACTGTGCTGGGGGCTTGTTGGTGGATATAACAAACATCTAGCTGTGGCTCAACTCTTAAACCAGAATAAGAGTTGGGAGAACAATCCACAATAGAATTCAAAGACGTGCTTGTAAATTATAATTATAATTATTACCTTGGAAAATGGTTCTAATCCTTAGAAGTCCCAGAAGGGTAAAACTTCTAGCTTTAGTTACGAGTTGTTGAGGGACAACTTGACTCCTACGTCTTGTCTCTTCCATACTGCTCATCTCCTTCCTAAAAAGAACTACCCAATGAAAGCTCACGTAACCCTTAAGGCCGGACAGGTTCGGGCATTCCAAGTCTCCGAGGAGGTCAAATCAAATCAGAGCGCCTCTGTTCTGTCTGCGGAGGCGAAAGGTGGCAGCTGTATTTTGGTCTCGTCTCCACCCTCCTAACATAACACTGGAAATCTAAACGGTTACGTTTCTGCCATTAATCTCATCGAGTCACAAACAAACAGAAAGCTAATTCTATCCTGGATCACAAGATAAAGTTCATCAATGAGACAAAGTAATTCCAAATAAGTTAAATCTTCATATATTTAATAGTTTTTTGTTTTTGTTTTTCATTTAAATATAAATTTCTTTCTTTAAATAGAATCATCACTGATTTTGCAAATATTCTACATGGTGCATTGTTCAAAAAGAGTGTGTGGTGCTTCCTGGACTTAGATATGTTAATTTCCTGGAAGAAGGGATGGAGATCACGTGACCACAACCAGTCCCTTCAATCTTTTTTCTTCTTTCATTTGGTCAATTAACACTGTCACAATTTGAAACGTATCTGAAATTAACAAAATAATGCATATTCTAGATTTGTTAGGTCGGTTTTCCAAAAATAGTCTAAAAAACTATATTGCATACATCATTCTAGGAAATCGACATAATAAAATATTAAAGTAGGAGAATATATATTACTTCTTTGAATAATAAGGGGAGAGAAACTTCTGAAATTAGACAAAGAAAAGAAAAAGACAACCCAATTATCTGGATTTGATTTAGTTTGGGATTAGCTCGCACAGGCGGGACGTTAAAGATGGCTTTAGTGTGTGTGGGGGCAACTTTTACAACTTTTCAAATATCACCGTGCGGGAAAACTATCGGGGGACTCTTTATATCTTTGAAAAGGAACACACACACACACACGCACACACACACACACACACACACACACACACACACACACACACACACACACACACACACACACACACACACACAATCCGACACTACTCGAGTGACAGGAAAACACTTGCAGGTTAAAAGGCAAACAAAGAGCACGATTTGAAATTGGCCACAACTCATTTTAAAGTACCCCCACCCCCGACTGTCAAACACACACACATACACACCACACACGCACACACACACCTGCTTTCCAATCACGCATCCATCACAGTGCTACGTTTGTCCACACAGAAAGTCAGGACTCCATCCTGCCGCCTTCTGCAAATCTAATCACATGGATGTGGACACGTACATATATATTATATATTATATCCATAGAGCACGGGTCAAAACTGATTACAAACAAAAGGAATGACTCCAGCTGGGCGTCTCCACTACTGCTCACAGAAATCTACAGTTTTCATCGACAAAAGCAGCCGTTATTGTTTCCTTCATCAAATGCAAACAGATTAGGGCTGCACAATATATCGTAAATATATTGTTATCGCGATATCAGCATGCGCAATATGCGTATCGCAAAGAACAGATAAATATCGCAATGAATGGTCAGCTCAAATGTTTGCTACACATAATGCATTCTGTCAATCCAACAGAAGCATGATGTTTTTTTAACTAATCAAATAGAGCTCTTCACCCATTTGGCCAATCGGGTGGGTTCTCATAGGTTAGATGCCCGCCCCCGAGGCGGATGGCACCTAATTTTGATGGTTAGCAAACACCTGAGTTAGCTTTGTTCAGCTCTTTATGCTGATTCTGCTTTTCCTGGGATCCACTGATTGCCTTTTCTTGTTTTCGTTTTCCCTTTCGTCACATCGTTTGCTTTTCTCACTTTTATGATTGTTTTTATTTTTGTTTTTGATTATTTTTGTTCCTGAGTTAAGTTTATTTATCGCAAGTAATATCGTCATCGCAATATTAATGATTGTTATCGAATATCGCAGGTTTTCCTAATATCGTGCAGCCCTAAAACAGATGATGTAGAATATGACCCCGGTCTCACTAATATATTAGCAGCTGGTTTCAAAACAAACAATCGTGTTGTTATAAAGGAATCTGTTAGTGCAATGAATCATGGGAACAAGTGCCAGCAAGGAGGGGGAAGCGTGAGGGAGGACACGGGAGTTCCTGGTGGAAAAAAATCGTTTAGTTGCAAGATCCGATTTTACACAGTAGGAATTCTGAATTTTACATTGTTGCTGAGGTTTTGTAGAGAGGAGGTCAAATTGATGCTTTTTTATTTAAATGGATCATTCTTTGCATTTTAGATTAAGTGCTGTTGGCCATTTTAAATAAAGGTATTGTTTCTGCCCTCTGCTCATATCCACACCTGTCAGCCACTTGTTCAATCTAGAAAAAAATCTGATTTTATGGGATTAAAACGAAACCAGTTCGGTGAAATCCTTCCTTGTTTTTCAAATGGAACGAGTCCGTGATTAAACTGCGAGATGAAAGTTTGCCTGGATTTACTTGCAGGTACGACAGCGTCATACCTGCACGCCAGGTCGGTCGGTGTGTTTTTGTCTCACTGCAGCCCAGTGGGATCCAGGCTTACTTCTTATTTATTTAGGTGAAGTAAGTTTGTGTAGAGAATCAGGGAGCAGACTGATGTAAAGGTGCTTGTTAGGCTTGATTTAAAAAAAAAAAAAAAAAAAAGCATCTACTCGTTAAATTAACCGCAAGGACAACGTCTGCTCTCCGTTCTCCAACAGAAACATCCAGAGTTGTTTTGCCCCGGCTGGTGGAGCGTCGTTAGCTCTGAGCAGACTCGTATTCCCCAGCAGCACCTCGGCGCCGGACCATCCGTGAAGCAGCAGCCCACGAATGGAACAAACGTGATTGTTGTGCTGAGAGGCTTCAGGGGGAACACGGCTCGAACAGAAACATCCCTGGCAGGAATGGGATGTGGGGGTGGGACACGAGCTTTAATGAAACTAAAACATCTGAGTCGATGGATGAATTGTTTGCTTTTCCAACCATCACTGGTGCTCTAATCTCACGTTCCATCGTATTAGTAAAGGAATCTGTGCTTCATAATCTGTCAGTATGCTAGCCAAAACCAAGCCCCTCCCCTCTTCACTTTCCCTCCACATCTGAGGGGTGGGTGGGTCTGTCCTTTGGTGCCCCTCCTCTGCAGGAGGTGAAGCTGCATGATGGTTTCTTTCAAAAGGTGCCTTTTGCTCCCACTACTGCAGGTTCTTCAAGATGCGCCCGTAACGAAAGTCGTAGACGTGCCTGCAGAGGTACACCAGCTCGGGGTCGACATCCATGGGCACGCAGCGATGGGAGGGGGGGGCAAAGTCTGGGCGGAAGGGCACCACACTGGCCCTGCCAGGTGGGGCTCCTTCAGCCCGCCGCTTTACCAAGGCACAAAATCTGAGGAAACAACCGAAAAAGTACAAGTAAAAGTAATTAAAACCATATATTACAAAAGGTAAAAATACCAAAGTTTATACTTGATCAGACTTGCCGCCTTTTGTTAGACTAATTAATTAAAAATGGGTAAGTACACCATTTATTAGAATATTTTAAGATCAATAGTACTTTGAAGTTATAAAAACTGCGGCTGGGTTTGTGCTGTAAAGCCGTTCTGTTTTGTAATGTCTATTTAAAACGACGACACGGGAGTGAGGCGGCGCGTCCGCCTCCGCTGTGCGCCACGCTTAAGGTGGACTTTTTAACATTTATTAGGCAGACTGGATATGTATTCCAGATATCTATAATTCTATTGTTCCCAGTAGAAATTAACATTCCAGAAATCCATGAGAACTAGGGCTGCACAATATATCGTAAATATATCGTTATCGCGATATCAGCATGCACAATTTGCATATTGCAAAGAACAGATAAATATCGCATTGAATGGTCAGCTCAAATGTTTGCTACACATAACGCATTCTGTCAATCAAATGGAAGCATGATGTTTTTTAACACCTAAATAAAGCTCTTCACTCATTTGGCCAACTGGGCGAGTTCTCATAGGTTAAATGCCCGCCCCCAAGGCGGATGGCACTTAATTTTGATGGTTAGCAAACACCTGAGTTAGCTTTGTTCTGCTCGTTCTGCTGAATCTGCTTTTCCCTGGATCCACTGATTGCCTTTTCTTGTTCATTTTCTTTTTCCCTTTTTTCACATCTTTTGCATTTCTCATTTTTATGATTTTTTATGTCAGTTTTGATTATTTTTGTTCCTGTGTTTAGTTTTTATTTATCGCAAGTAATATCGTCATCGCAATATTAATCGTTATCGAATATTGCAGGTTTTCCTAATATCGTGCAGCCCTATTGAGAATGTTCTTACTGAGTATCTGAGATGTTCATTCTAGATAGTAAAGATCATTCAGTTAAAACATCTTTCAGATATGTAACTGTGTTACAGAACATAAAAGTTACGTCAGTTACTTTGCTAGGTAACTAATTACTTTTACAATGTGGTAACTGAGTTACTTTTTGGAAAACGTGATTTGTAACTATAACTAATTACTTTTTAAACATAAGATGCCCAACACTGGTTATGAGATGCAGGTGGGCTTAACTTATCCTAACCATGAAAGCCCAAGGAGAGCAAAAAATAAATTTAAAAAATCCATATTTTGCCTAAATTCAAACTTTACAAACAGCAAATTCAAATTATTCAATAAAATATATTTAGCGTCCAGCCCTAACCGACGGTAAAATAAATAAGCATTTCACGTTGAAATGTTTCAGATCAGAAAACTGTTTTCAAAGCCAAAAGAACTGAAAAGAACATTAGAAAACAGCATTTTATCTGTTTGGTGAGCCGGAACAAAAACTCTGTAAGGGAGTAAATACTTTGTCACAGCACTGACTACAAACATGGCAGAGAGCACTGGCAGACAGCTCTGACGTTTACTCACCTACAGTACTGGGCGAGTGGAAGAATGTAGCATCGGTCTTCTATGCAGGCCACACTATTTTCATCCTGGTGCCGAGAGGCGAAAATCTCATTCTGAAACCAACAGTAGGTGATCAGCATCACATCATCTACAAGTGTTTCCTAATGTGCTGAAGTAATGGGAGCATTTTCTCAACTGTGATATAAATTTATAAATATTTATCAGGGTGTCTGCAGGTTTAAGGGAGCCAAATTTAAGACTTTTTAAGACCTTTTTTAAGGCCACCTTGACCAAATGTAAGCTATTTTTTAAAATTAAAATTAAGCTATAATTTCCAGCTATTCCCTGGAACCGGTGCTAACCACGTCGTGAATGTGGGATTAGCCATCCAGTTACCATTAATGTTGCACTTCCCCATGGCGCAAACTCCCACTAAAAATAGCCCCCTTTCACAACCAACTGAACGTGTACGGTTCCGCTTACGCCAATATCATACACAAAAAATGCTGAACTAGAAATTCACGAAAATTTTATTTTTCACGAAAATTTTATAGAAATAAAAGAATCTTGTTTATTGGGTCTTTAGTAATTTAAGACCTTTGGAAACTATTTAGGGATTATTTGTCATTTTTAAGGATTTTTAAGGCCTTAAATTTGGAAAAGCAAATTTAAGACTTTTTAAGGACCTGCAGATACCCTGACATATGTAAATCACTTTTAATGGAACCCTCGCACTTTCACACATCCATTTTCTCTGACAGTGAAACTCTTCCTCTCCCAGTTATTGTGGGTGTTTTTATTATTTTTTTGCAAGGCTGAGGTCGAAGCGACGCCATCATCTGTGGCATTGTGGTTAGATGGAGGAGCTAACCAGCTATCAACAGTTTCAGGGCTGCTGAGAGGAGAGATAATGATGTCTCCTGCAACAGTCGGCGCCGACGTTATTTTGCACAAACAAGCAGTTTCGCTCACCTCCTCCTTGCACATTATTTTAGTACATGCTGTACACCACAGTCACTTACAAAATTTACATTATAAGATAGTCCTAGAACAAGGGGTGAGTGTGTGTTTGACACACACAAACTGCTTTATTGGTGCATTTACTGTTCCAGCGCAGCTGTCATTAACCTGCTGGGAAAAATTAGTTCTCAGCTGCAGTCCATTCAAGCCTCACCTCACAGTGTGTGCTGGGATCTCGGCCTCCTTGGGTGTGCTCAGGTCTGTAGTACCAAAAAAGGCTCATCATCAGCTCTCCTGGGAAAGAGAAACAGATGTGAACTTGGCTAATTAAATCCTTCATTCACGTGCTGTATCTGTTCTAGTGTCTCACCTGTTTTGGGGTCCTCCCACAGAGCTGAGATCTTGGCGACATATGGGAGGGATTTCTTCCGGGGGCCAGATCGTAGCAGAACAGTGTCTCTTACGTGTATCACCTCACCGTCTCGCTCGACTCCTTCGTAGCACTGTCGTACAGCTGCCTCATCCTCTCCCTGGGATGAAACGCATAAATCTCTAAAAGACTAAAACACATGATCGTATTCATTCTGTAAAGATGCTAATTAACCTACCGCAACAAAAACTTCCCTTTCTGTTGGGATCCCCACGGGCCTCCAGCCGTTCGTAGCACGTCTGCGGGTCATTTTCTTGTGTTTGCTGAGGTTTGGCACAGGCGATACTTGTTTGGTCAGTAGCTGAGCACGGCCCACGGACAGGGAACCGTTGGACACCTTGGTGCTCTGTGGGCATTCCTTGGCTAGTTTTAGCCTAGCTTGGGGCTGGTCTCGCCCAGACAGGGGGCTCAGCAGGCAGGGTTTAGTCTGTGTGGAGGTGGGCACGCTGGAGAGAGGGAAGCTGGAGATGGGCATGGTGGGGGGAACAAGCAGGGAAGGGCTGTGATCACCCTCTGGAAAGGAAGGAAATTTTAACGAGTAAAGCAACTTTTCTTACACATAAAACCATTTATTCAAAAGCTTAAGAGGTGTTTTCTTTCAGAAAATTCCAAATTTGGGGTTGTGAAGAGCTACAAATGTGATGTTCAAATATTCTCCAGTTGATGATCAAAATGTGTTATGCTCTTTTAGCTGAAAATAACATTTCACAAATGTTAGAGCATTTATGCGCAAAGCAAAGCAATTACATTAAACTGTAATTAAAGAAGAAATGGTCTGTAGAACATCAGACCACCTTCTTCTAGCTCTTGGAGGGTGCAGACGCTTTTTTCCTCTCCTCCTATCTTATCCTCAAGGCCTTTGTCTGTCTCTGTGTGCTGGGTGCACGGCTGCTTCTGCATTTTTTTCTGGAAACTGAAATTCACTAAAATGGATCTCGTCAGCTCTCAACGCGATTGAAAAATTTTTTTTAACGATGAGAACGGGAGAAGGTGCTCCAGGGTGCCCCTCCGGGACAGACCCAGTTGGACACATCATGGACTCCTGGAAACAGTGGAACTTGATTTGTTTATCTCAGCTGTCTGTGGAGGACTCTGAAGATGTGTGGATATTCATGGTGTTGGTGTCAGGTTTCCTGCTCATTGGCCTTGGAGGCTACCTGGCTTACCGGAAAATTAACAAGCTGTCGAGGAATATTGGCCTGATCCCGGAGCTCAGAGATGGTTTGCACCGTGCTGTGAATTCACAGACTCACATAATTGTTGAGATGAATTGTAAGCTTGGAACTATGGCCGAGATTCATTCATTGGCACAAAAGATGGATGCCATCAAGGAGAGAGTGGACGAATCAGCACAGATTGGGATAGTTTAACGTCCATTATTGGGATTTTGAGAGGTTGAGGGCCAACAAACTGTAAGACAGAGAGGAAATTATCTCTGTCTGGCCCCAAAACAATTTCTAATCGGAATCTGGCGTCCTTGAGCCTGCAAGGCTCCAACGAAAACTCCCCCCTCAGAAGATATGTGGAATGTGCCGTCGCTATGGCTACTCAACTCTGCCTCCTTTCCCAGCCTGGGCAGGACTGCAGGAAGGCCGCTGAAGCGTCCAGTGTCACTGCAACCCTCCAACCCTCAATGCTCCTCCCCCTATCCACACTGAGGTGACATGCGCTGCTTATCGTGGCTGCAGGAACTGAAGTGGGGATAGTCTCAACCCACCACCCCACCTAGTGGACACTTATGTTGTGTTGTCTGAAGTCTGTTGCATATCTGTCTGAGGTGTTTTTTTTTTTTGCTGAGCAAAGCTGCCCTCCCTGTGGAGGGTAACTCAGAAATACTGTTTCCCCCTCCACTTGAACCAATCCTCATTTAACCCTCTTATCTCTATTAAGGTAGCGCGACTCAGGGTTGCGAATGACCACAGTCACCAATTCTTGTCATGTGTCTTGCCCATGTATGTCTGATCTCTGAATTGTGTGTACTGAAACTCTAATTTCCCTCTGGGATTAATAAAGTATCTTTGATTTGATTTGATTTATTTAGGGATTTTAAAATCTAATGATCACATGCTTTTATTTAATTCAAACCAAAAGAAAAATCTAGTTATGTGTCCCTGGCCTTCCTGAGTTATCAGTCAACAACACCACTATAGTTCAGATTGGAGAAGTGCATTCTGAAAAGATTGTACCTAACCCTATCGGCTTACAAGAAACTATGTAAATGCACTTGAGGTTGACATGTTTTTCAACAAACACTCACAAGAACAGCCTACCCCAAGCGAACTGTTGTAAGACCACTTTTGTTTCGATCAAAGCTTGGATTCTATCTGGCAGATCAAAATAAAGTTGACCTTCTCACTATACGGCCTAAAAATAAAGTCTCCGATTTTATTTTTTTAATTCAATTTACGATTTTTTCCGATTCTCTCTCCCCCTCAATTATTAAGAACAGCAATAAGTACTAATGGAAGGCACGTTAAAGCCAATTTAGTTTTTTATTTAATCACAAGCAAGACAAATGTAACCCTCATTTCTGAGATGAATAATGGATAAATGATCACCCTATTGGAATAAAAGTGCCACGCTTCACGCCCGTCGCAGCAAACCCAAACCAGTTCCAAACAACGGATGATTTAATTCCGTTTTTAGGAACAAACTTCCCACTCTCACCGGTGGCCATGGAGTTGCTTGCTGTTGCTGTTTCGTGTGCGTGCTGTGACGTTGTTGTCGCGGTTATGTGAAACTAACGCTACAGAAGCTCTGGGGGGACAATAAAGGCGCTATTACATAACAATTTGATAAAAGTTTTTTTAAATCTTCCGCAACAAAAATTTGATTTAATTCATTAAATCGATTTATCGCCCATGCCTACTCCTTACGTTATAATGAGTGTTCTTCCCAATACTGATGACATTTAGGCGTGTTTACGTTTTCCACTCACCTTTCTTGATACTGTGCGTACATCCAGTGCATCCAGTACTAAAGGAACAGCCTCTGCTTGTGACTGGAGGCATTGCTCTGTAGGTGTAGCCAGTGACGCCGCAGGCATCTCCATAACAGGGAGAAGACACAGAGTTGCAGTAGGAAGGGTGGGTTAACCCTGAGGCATGAGACATTTGTTGTCCCAGCAGCTTGGAGCTGCTAATATGACTGGAGCACAAACTGGATGAGGTGAAGTTGAGAGGTTGTGTGGCTAAGGTTGCTGAATTAGTTCCAGTGTGTGTTGGGTGGGCAATGTGGACATAGTAGCTGGAGAAGCAGTGGTCCGCTGTGCACAGGCATGGGTGAGGGCTGAGGGTGAGGGCCGTGTGTGGGTGGGAATGCGTGAGTGATGGTGAGGTTACTAGGCACTCTGGCTTCACAGGAGGCATTGCTGACTTGAGCGATTGGTCTTCGGAGTCTCCGTAGGTCTGCTGACTGAGGAAGTATGCCAAGCGGTGGCAGTATTCCACAGAGCCTTCATTTGGACAGCAGTAGTATGGACTCAGCTCGGCCTCCAGCTGTTCTTCCTTCACTTGTTTCAGCGGGTATGCTAGCATGCTACGAGATTGATAGCCTTGATTGGTCAGGTAACGGTTGCAGCTGGCCGTCTCCCACTCCACTTTGGGCTCAAAGTCTACTTTCTCTTTGCAGGTTGTGCAGCAACCAGGCCCTGGGGGGGCTTTGGTGCCCTTTCTTTTCTGTACACGACTGTTGTGTTGGGATTTGACCTTGTGGTGCTGCTTTGGGGTTGAGATTGCAGCAGGGACTACATATTCTGAAGTGTTAGCTGCTGTAGGTGTAGGCTTTGCTCTTTGTTTACTGGTAGCAGAGGAGCTGGTTAACTTCAGTAGGGCTGCAGCATTAAGTCCAGCCAACCGTCTCGGTGTAGGTGCATTCAAACATTCCTGGCTCATCCAAATACTTTCATCACTTCTCTTCTTGCTTAGCTTGGAACTTTGGAACAAATCAGGCTTTTCAGACGTGGAACATTTACGACCGTTTTCTTGTGAAGTTTTCAGACCCCCTTGCACATTACCTCTGGCTGGATCCAAGGGAACCCCTCCCTCCACATAATCCTCTTGTCTCCTGGCCTGTTTGGCTGCTGGCTGAGCATCAGCTCTTTCAAGTAGTAAACTGTTTACCGCTTCGGCATTGAGGGAAGCTAGTCTACGCTTGCGTGGTAGCAAGTCTTTGAGTTCAACACACTTTGCAAAATCTAGGCCTTTTGTCTTAACTTTGCCTTTTGGTAACACCTTTGCCTGTTCTCTTTTCTTACATTTCCCTTTTCTGGATATGTGACCATCTTTTTTCCCCCTTTCTTTAGACCTTTCCTGTTTGCGTAAGTTTTCTTCAAAACGAGTGAGGAGAACATTGCAGCTCCGCCCTTCCTCATCCGCATTCCCAGCCCTCCCTCGCAAAGGGTACAACTTTCGGTTGCGCTTCTTCTCTTGTTTCCGGTGCAGCTTTCTCTCCTGGTCTGAACGTTTTATTCCCTCTTTCTTTTTGTTCCTCCTCTTCGCCATGCCTTTCTCTTCTTTCAGGATCCCACTTATTTTCTTTGTCCTGCCAAATCGTAACGCACCCTCAGGCCAGTCGCCTCCCATTGCGCCAGCATGAGGCCAAGGACGACTACAATCCCACCACTCAGAACTACTGTGATTCTGGCTGAGGGAAGCGGTCTGCCTCGCATGAGTCATCACATGCTTCTCAATAGAACCTAGAGAAAAGAAGCACAAAGTTACAGAAGAGATCAAAACAGGCCAAACAGGGAAAAACAACTAAATCTACACACTAAAGAGTTGAAAAAATAAAAAACAGTGTTGATATACAAACTCCTTGTGCTACGGAAGCCTTATGTTTTGTCAAATGACCAAGTCCAAATGTAATCTATCCAACAAACAGAAGGGTAACTGCTTACTAGCATGTATTAGCAACATAGCCATAATACGGAAAGTTCCCAAGTATATCCCATAAATAGGAAGTAGCTTGTACAAATGTATAAACAAAAAAGAACCATCTATAACAAATCGTTACCAGAATGATGTCACACCATAGACATTTACCAGAAATGACACCTCAGTGTTTCCCCTACACAGGCTCAAGCGTGGCACTGCGCCACAGCTAAAATTCCAGTGCCACGCCTACGAGATCCCCCCACAGGAGACGCATGGAAGCGAAACATTCCACTCGCGACCCCCCTCCCCCACCCCGCTCTCATAGACGATGCATAGCAGCGAACCTGTCGCGCTTTTCAGATGTGGAGCAATTACGACCGTCTTCTCGTGAAGCTTTCAGAACCCCTTGGACGGTACCCCTGACTTGATTCAATATGGCCTGGCCGCGGCCCCGCAAGCCCCTCACGGAGGATGCTCTGCAACCCCCTACACCATGGATGGAAAAACTTCTAGGGGAAACACTGCACCTACTAGCCTAGTTAGGGTATCATCTAGCATAATTGGCTCCCACGGAACAAGTCATAAAATGTAAAGAGGAATTCCAGATCTTCTGAAGTAGATTTCTGTGGAAAGTTAAAGACATCTCTTTGAATGACCTTGGTTCGAAACAACAGACCCCTCCTTCACAAAACACTTCAAATCATACTTGAAATGCCTTCCAGCCATCATGGTGAAAAGCAAGCAATGAGCTTTAAAGGTCCATTTACAAAGTAAATACTGCTATCTGAATACATCTGTGATTTTAAAAATGTCACAGTAATCCACGTGAGCCCTAATTAAATTAAAACACATGAATAAATAACTCTATAGCAAGTCTGGAGAGCAGCCTATACACCACAGTACAATATAACCCTTAAAACGATAGGAACTGGTTTTTGTTGTTGTTTTAACGCACATATGCTTGCCCTGGACTCTTATTGTGAAAATACTTGAACAATGACATGTAAATGTGGGCTTGCCAAAAACCCTTAATGTAAAGGCCTTTTAAAGAGATACTTTGCAAATTTTTTAAATTTTTATCTTGAGTAAGTATGTGCTAAAACAACCCTTTCCAGGGTTAATAAAAGGCTACCCAGCCCTCTATCGCCCCCTGTGTCCAGAATATCCCAATTGCAACTTCAGACTGGTGAGCTGCTCTGCTGGAAGTAAAGGCAAACCACAAAATATCTGCCTTTTCCCTTGAAAGTATAGTTTTCCTTTCTAACATCTTTTATTGCCATTGCTTAAAGATAGACAAAGATCGGTCTTATTAAGTCATGAAACACACTGAAACTGAAAGCAAAACAGACGACTCATTTGTTGCATTGTCTGATAGAACGCATAAAGGTGTTTCTAGTAATGACTACACTCTTTGGCTGGATGGTTGTCTGATCAGACCTCATTCACTTTATCTTACGTTCATCTTCAGCTATAGAATCTGAAATGCCCGCCTGTTACAATGAGTTTACGTTTGTGTGTTTTGTTTTATGTCTTATTGAAGAACCTGAAGCAGTCATACCAAGAACCCGTGTTATCAGTTAGTGTGCACACAGAGGGTCAGTAACAGCTCGCTAAGAGCCGGTTGTTTAGTCTGAAATGTTTAGCCTGATAAGGGAATGCCAAGAAAAATTCTTCCTTAACCATTTATCTGAATGGAGATAAATAAACAAGCAAACCAACAAGTGGGCTAAATGGTACATATTTAAACTTAAAGACGTCTTTGATCACTTTAACAGCTCTCCACGTTCCTTGTGCCAACATGCACCTTCCACAGAGAAGGAGAATTGTTGCGTCCACCTTTCAAATGGCTGCATGATATCATTACTAACACTCACAGTGGAGATATTTAGCAGCTAAACTCAATTAGCAGTAAGCAGCTCGAGTGTCAGCTGAAATGCTTACTAAGCGCACAGGAATTTCAGCATGAACATCTAAAGTCTGACTGTCTACCTGCCTAATGAGATGTCTAAAGACAATACAGTCAATAAATTAGCTTTCTGAGCCAAATTACTCAGATTAATAACATGTTTTCATTTTCTTTATAACGTGATTAGCCATTATATCCTACTGAAAGGGGGATGCTAATGTTTTTGCCCAAAATGCATTTTTGGTTTATTAGTCTGTTAACAAGATGAACCACTGAAAGGATTTCAGTGAGACAATTAGAAATGATGTATTAGATCCACATCTAGAATAGGGCTGGGCGATATGGCAAAAATAGAATATCACGATTTTTCCAATATTTTATCACGATTTCGATTTTATCACGATTTTTTATCCATGAATAGCATAACTTCAATTGCATATTAAAGAAGAGAAACATTAAATAAACAAACATTTATTCATATTAGGGATAATCAGCACAGTGCTAACACACTTATATTTTAAACTCACACCAGAGATGATAAAAGCCCTGAGAGAAACAATTACAAAAATCTGTTTTTCTCGTTTTTCAAGTTACTTAACATAAATTAAAATCGTAAACATATTTAAAGTGCAAACATGTCGATTACAAACGTATTGTGCAAACATTAACTTGTTCAAAATACTATGTAGCTCCCAGTTGCTCATGTAGTGGATAGTTAAGCTCAAATATGGCTCTGATGTGCGGCTGGACCAGAGATCGCTTGTGGTAGCAAATAACTGCGCATTCTGAATATTTTCTGCAACTCTCACTTTGCATTCAGCGTACATGCGTGGAATGGCAATGTTCGAAAAATACTTGCGGCTGGAAAACTCGTAGCGCGGATCCAATGTTTTTATCATTTTCTTAAATCCCGCTCCTACTGTTCGCACGGGACACAAATCTTTAACCAAGTGGTGCGTCACTGCATCTGTCGCGCTGTTCCATCGTCTGCTGTCTCTGTCGTAAGGAGTGAGTTTTGTATGTGTTTCTGTTAGCGTTCGCTGCCTGGAAGAAGCACGAGCCGCTGCAGCCGCAGGCTTTTTAGCTTTTGCTGCCAGCTGGCTCTCATTGTATTGTTTGGGATGCTTTCTTTTCAAGTGAGTAAACAAGTTTGTGGTGTTGCCATCACTTGCCTTGACACTCTCCTTGCAAATGACGTTTCGCTGCTCTTTGTCATCTGGTGAAAAAGCAAACCAGTTCCATATAATGGACGAGGCATTCCTCTTTGGAACGAAAACCTCGTTGTCGCTCGTGTTGCGCTCAGCCGCGGCCGAAGCCATGTTTGTTCACACACAGGTGAAAACAAGCGGGGCACTAATATATTACTATGACTCACTCTGATTGGTTAAGGGTCAAACAAAGGCGTGTCATTCGCCTGAGGTAAGTTCCCTTTTCATTCAAAGGCAGAATTTCAACAGCAGAGCTGTGAATCGTGATAAAAAGGTCTCTCAAAAATGACAGACCGTCAGATGTGTAGATCGTAAAACGGTCTAAAATCGTCATATCGCCCAGCCCTAATCTAGAACAAATTAGCTTCAATTCAAGATGGCGATCACAGCTAATCTACATAGGAAAATGTTAAAATGGCTACGACTCACAGCCTAGAACCTAGACCGTCATTAGCTGAAGAAAAAAGTCGGTCAAGCAACGCTCCATGTTGTGGCTGGCCCAATCAATTCAATTTCAATTCAAGTTTATTTACATAGCGCCAAATCACGACAAGAGTCGTCTCAAGGCACTTCACACAGTAAACATTCCAATACAGGTCAGTTCATTAAGCCAATCAGTAAAAAGTTTCCTATATAAGGAACCCAGCAGGTTTCATGGAGTCACTGACTAGTGTCAAAGTCTTTACAGCAATCCTCATACTAAGCAAGCATTTAGCGACAGTGGAGAGGAAAACTCCCTTTTAACAGGAAGAAACCTCCAGAGGATCCTGGCTCAGTATAAGCAGCCATCCTCCACGACTCACTGGGGATCGAGAAGACAGAGCAGACACACGCAAGTCTTCATCAGATTATGCTTTCGAGTCAACCCCATTCAAGATGGCCACCATGACCATGGCAAACACAAAAATGGCAATAATACTGTACATTTTTATGGATTTTAAGCTAATATAAGCAGCAATATATAATCCGAGAGCAGACAAACAGCTAGAACTCCATAATTTCATTTTAACTCTGGTATAAGTGATAAGCATCTAAAAAATGCTTTAATTACAAGTTCCTGATGCATTTTCCTCAAAACATAAATTTGGTGAAAGGGTGAACTGCAACAGGAGAATATTGTTAGGGGGTTTGGGGATCTTTTGTTTGTTCAACTGTGATGCTCGTTCTACAGATGTACACTCCTTAAACATAATCGTAGAAACGTCACAACAAAAAATAATTAACCAAACACAGCTTTCTCTACTTTTGTTTTATGTCTATATTCCTTATTTGAAGTGGATGTTTTTATTAATAAAAACTCAATTAGTAAAACTCAATTAGTGGAATGTAGATTAAATAATATTTTATAAAATTTCTAACCCTGGAATCCAAAATCACAAAAACACGATAAGATGAGTCATTTGTCCTGGGGGTGATCTGGTGCTGATTGTGGGCAAAGAAAAATATATTTATGCAAATTTAAAGGGAGACTAGGCAGTTTTGGCTTGCTTTTAGCACCCCCTAGTGTCCATTCAGTAAAATCGAAAGCAAAACTCTTCTTCTTGCTGTGCGTTCATCTTTTTAACACCTTAATCTGAAAGCTGAAACGTTTCCCAGCCTTCCTAAGTGTCTACAGGAGTAACCCATCACTAAATTAGACAAATCAGCCGTGTTCATGACCTATTACATACAAGGGTTTTTTAGCACATACTGGCTCAAGAAAATGTTT